GGTCCCCGGTCCTGTGTGGGGGCAACACTGAGGGTTGCGATCCGTTGCCGGACACGGAAAAAGACAAAAGACAAAAAAAAAAAAGTGATGAGAAAAAGTAACTTTGCAGTATTATAAGCAAGGATGAGACAAAAAGTATTTTGTTAAGGTGTATAAAAGTGATGTGAAAAAGTAACTTTGCAGTATTATAAGCAAGGATGAGACAAAAAAGAGAATGTCTGTCAGCCAGTAGTCACTCAGTGATTATTTATTTGGCCCGCGTAAGAATCTTCAGAATTGACACTATTGAAGCTATAGGTGAAAGCTAGAGGACCAGATGACTTTTCTGAATTTTAAACATGGAACTTTCTGATCCTTTTTTCTGTTACAGCTGGTGGGGGGAGGGCCTACAATGTGTTTAATAGTACTGAACTTAATGCTTATTTTTTATTTAGTTTTAATCTATAGCCCTTTCATCAAGGGATTTGGCAAAATATGTTGGAAATCAGCTTGTATGAGTTAATTAAATTATATACTTTATGATGTTGTATTGATCCATGAATTTTACCTAACCTAGATAATATTTTGTTTTTCTTCTTTCTCCACTCTAAAGAGTTCAGCAAGACCAGCAGATTGGAAATATCAAAGTGGACTATCAGCCTCATGGCTTTCTTTAGAGTGCACAGTTCACATTAATATTCACATCCCACTTTCTACTACTTCTGTCAGCTATACTCTGGAGAAAAATACAAAGGTATCAGAGTAAAATGAATTTTTAGTGATTACTGAGTGGACCATCTGCTGTTAATTATTCTGGTTGTGTCATTCATTTTATGATCCACAAAAACCACGTTCTATTTATAATGATGTTGTTATATGAGTAACTTATTACCCCAGCCAGATTAGAAATTTTTGTAGAGTTGTAACAATGTCATAATATTAGTATATACAGTGTAATAGGCACTTAATAAATATTTGTTAATTAACTTATGTAAAACGTATGTAGGAAGCTATACTGTTTGATCTTTTAGCTTTCTCCCGTCCTTAGTTTTGTATTTCCTTTTCTAGTCCTTTTTTGTATTTCTATACCATGTTTTTGTTTATGTCTCCTTTATTCACATTGAAGAAGGCAGGTGGGGCATGCTTATTTTTTCCTGTATAATACTGCTTTATATTATTTTTTTCACATAATGGGTTTATTGTATTTTATTTGACTGTGTTCACATAGTTAATAAGCCTTCTGCATCTGTGATCTAAATGTTATTTTGGGATAAAGATCAGAAAAAACAATTATTAAATATGAATAAGATGCCAAAAATTGGGAGTGGGGAAAATTTTTTTTTTTTAATTTATGATACTGGATTTAAATATTGCATGACTGATATTTAGGGATTTTTAATATCTCAGTTTATTGGGTGGAAGAAAGTTAGGGAGTTTAACTGAGATGGCATTATATCTGAAAGATTTTTGGGTTGTGTTTCTTTTAAGAATGGACTTACACGCTGGGCCAAGCAAATAGAAAATGCTGTTTATTTGATTAATGGGCAAGTTAAAAATGAAGATTGTGACCTATTAGAAGGACAGGTGAGTTAATAGGAAATCCTCTTATTTGCAAAACTACTTGTGCTTAAGGAAAAATAAAAGATGACTTTTCTTTATTCCTTGCCTTCATGAAAACAGGTTTCATCTACTTCCCATTTTTAAGGTCTTTTAAAGTAAGGAATTTATTTCTGATATAATTAGAATCCCAAAACCTGAAGTAGGGAGTGTCATCTAGATTCCATCTGATCTCCAAATTGTAAACTGCTTACATAAAACGAAAGTCCACATGTTCTGCCCTGATAGCCACTTTATAGGAGGGACCTGTAAGGGCTTTTTAAAAAGCTTTTGACCTGAAGGAAGAGGAACTTTGGTGATCTCTCCCTTTAGAACAGGGGTCAACAAATTTTATATAAAGAGTGAAATAATAAATAATTTAGACTTTGCAGGCCATATTGTCTCTGTTACAACTATTCATCTCTGCTATTGTAACATGAAAGCAGCCACAGATGATACATAAATGAGTGATTGTGGTTGTGTTCCAGTAAAACTGTTTACAAAGACAGTGGCAGTGTGGCTCTGGCTCACAGGCAGCAGTTTGCCACTTCTAAGTTATTGAATATATGTAGGCTAGTTTGTGAATTATCTCTTACGTTCCACTTATAACCTTAACAGTCTGGCTTTTTAACTTTTACATTTTTTTTTCAGAAAAAATCTTCTAGAGGAAACACTCAAGCAAGTAGTCATTCTTTTGATGTCAGAGTGCTAACACAATTGGTAAATATTTTAAAATGCCACTTATTTAAAATTTATTTAAATACTACTTATTTAAAACTTTTAAAGTATTTAAAATACGTTATTTTTTAGAATATCCATAATGAAAGTGTTTCTGGTTTTTTGTCTATAATTAGAGAATAAAAGAATTTTAGAGATGTAAGACTCTACACAATGTCCAGTTATAGGACAGTTACTCCCGGGAAACATTATTTTTTAAAACCTATTTGGCTCTTTTACCTCAAGGCTATTGAAATTTTAACATCAAATAGATAACAATTTAAAAAATGCAAGGGGTCTTTAAATAGTTCATGGAAAGATTAAGTTGATCAGTTGTGGTAAGGAGCGACACCTCAATTGATCGTCCATTGTGTTATCTTTTAATTCCATTTTTCCATGACCTTTTTGCAGTACCCTTGTATATATATATGCATGCATATGTGTGTGTGCATATGTATGTATGTAAATATTTGGGGTTGTAGGTTTTATAAGTAAAGTTGCAATTCTCAACAACCTAAAAGATGTGTTTACAGATGTGCCTGGAGTTATCATGTACTTAATTTGAAGTAGATTTATACGTCTTCTGATTTGATAAAAATCAACAAAGTATTAATTAGCAAATTTCATTTTTCTGTGTGGTTGTTTTAAATTATACACCTCTTCAGAAATTTAAAGTTAGATATCCTGAAGAATAAAAAGTTAAAACCACACAATTATTCCTAAAGTATACATACCTTTGATTTTAATCCTGCTTGAAATTATCCTGGAGAACAGATAAGGGTATAAAATAGTATGTTCATGTTTGTAGGAATCCTTTAATTTAATTGTTATATTGCACTTTGAAACAGGGAAATACTACCAGGACATTTCTTAACTGAATAAAATATAATTAAAAGCAGTTTGGCATATGGGGATGATTTAATTTCTTCTTTTTTTTCCCTGAATTTAGCAATAAAGCATTACTAAATTGTTACTGGAATTATGTTGTTCAATATGAGTTCTGTTTCTCTTCTCAGTACCTTAAAAGTATTTTTAGTCTCTTATTTTCTACCTTGGTTCTGATTTTATAAGTATCTTTTGTTTAAGGCTGTTTATTCTACCTACATGTTCTTTACTAGTTAGGCTTACTTCTTGGTTTATTGAACAATTTGGTTAAAATCATTTGAATGATACAATTGCTGTTGGGAGATGTATAGAGTTTGGGAATATATAGAGAGCAGTGGAAGATAATATCATAAAAGATAATTCGTTACAATCATATTTAATACTGTATAGTGTAATATATTTTTGTCAGTCATTTCACTAGTCACCCAACTTGAAATTTTGAGGTGACCAATGTATAATCAGTAGTCAATAAGTACTTATTGCCACTTTTCTTCCACTCGAGTCTCATTCTTTCTTTGCAGTGTTAAGTTTATCTTTTGTTTTTCTTACCGTCCTACTGTCATTAGCCTTACAAAAGTATTATTAGTGCAGGTAACTGTTAACTGGTTTCTCTACACATTCTTTCCCAGTGATTGTTTGTCTGAAATCCTGATACCTTTGTCTGTGTATCTCTTGGAATATCTTCCATTTTTCTACTCTATCCAATATGTATATCCTCGGATCATCCTCTCTGAATCACAGTTTGCATTCATTTACTTATTAATTTTTTTTAGAATATATTTATTGAGTGTGTCCAAGGGTCAGACACTGATTGTGTTACTCTCCTTGCTCAAAATTTCTTAGTTGCTCTATACAGACTAGTTAGAAAAGTCTAATTCAAGGCCCTTCATAGTTTCAGCATACCTTTTCGCTCTTACTTTCTGACTCACTATTCTAGATTCATGCTTGCTGTGCATTTTATATTCTATGTATGTCCAGAACCATGCATCTTACCAGTGCCATCTTTTCTCTATCATCCAAACTGTCAAAATACAGAGCTGGCTAGTTAGTGCAGTTGGTTAGAGCACAGCCTTGTAACACCAAGGTCAAGGGTTCGGATCCCCATATTGGCTAGCTGCCAAAACAACAACAACAAAAAAAAAACTGTCAAAATCCTGTCTGTACACTAAGATCTAGCCCAAATGCAATTATTTGTGTAAGATTCATTTGGTCATGATAGCCAGAGGGATTTTTTTCTTTTCCAAAGTACCATATCAGTGTTACAGAAGTTCCCTCACTTACAGACCGGTTAGATTCCCAAAGGCTGTTTGTAAGCCAGTTTATTTCTAAGTCCTGGTAACTAAAAGGAGTTTACATTTGTGGAACCCAGCTACAGTTCCACTAAAAGTGAACGAGTCAGTCCTTATATCCTTTAAAACACTTTTTCTGATATAGGTGTGATGTGGGTATGCATGTATGTAGTCTTTTATATGTAGTCTACCCTATTTTGGAAAACGATGCCCTAATTAATACATATACTATGTACATTACATATATATAACAAATATATGTAATATGTATAACTTATCTATTACAAATGTGTTATATATTATAACAAATAAAATATATTAAATATGTAAAATGGCATTATTTTTCAAAATGAAGTAGTTTTGTCTACAGTTAAGTTTTGTGGATTGGGTGAGAAAAGTCCATTATTTGTATCAGTAAAATCTACAAGTGTCATTGTCACCCAGCTGCTTGATTTAATGATAGACATTTTTGAATGGACTTGACCTTTGGAACTGTTTGGTGTGTAACAGATTTTTTACTAACAAGACCTTGACTATTTTTAAGTTTAAAAACTAGCCTTTGCCTGAATTACATTAGACATTGACTGTTCATGCTCTTTCAGTAGCTATATATTCAGGTCCTTTTTTTTTGTCTTTCTTCACCATTTTTTTTTCATTTCTTCCTGATTGCATAGACACATAGTTAGCACTTTTCACAAGTTGTATGATTTGTTTTTTGTCCTTCAGAACTGACCCTGTTGTTGAATGATTTATTCCAAGTGTGCTTAGAATGTAAATTGCTTTCTTACCACATCCAGTTTTTTGTTTTGTTTTTTTATCACAATTTTGCACCCATTGTGATTATAGGCCTCTAGTAGTACTTTCAATCTTTCTATGCTTTCCTCATTCTCACACTTATCAAGATGATGAGTTTAAAATTGTCCATGAAACACCTGAAAACCAAGCAGAAGTTAACACTCCTTAGACTTAAGAAGGTGAGACTACGTGTAAAGGGTTAACATCTTATATGTTCTGCTAAGAGGACGGCCATGACCTCTGGGTGAAAAGACCTAAATCAGACCTTCCTGTAGACATCCCGGGCTACTCCACAGTTACCTATGTTCCTTACTGGAATGAATGAATGTATGTCAGACACGCAGAGGACGGCCATGACCTCTGGGTGAAAAGACCTAAATCAGACCTTCCTGTAGACATCCCGGCTACTCCACAGTTACCTATGTTCCTTACTGGAATGAATGAATGTATGTCAGACACGCCCTTTACCTCTTTGGAAGGTCAGTCCCTGTTCTGTGGAGTACAGTTCCTCACACTGGACACCACTTGTCACTGTCCTCTCAATGACAGAGATGTGAGGATTACCCAAGGCCCAAATACTTGAAAGCAAAGAGAGGCCCAGAGGGAGTACATCAAGCTAAGATGTACTTTCCCATAAGAAAGGAGAAAGTCAAAAAAAAAAAAAAAAAAAAAGAGAGAAAGTCAGTGCAGCCTGAGCAAATAAAAGAAGCTCCTAGTCTGAAAAAGAATGTGTTAAATCTCACCAAGGGAAGTGGATTAAAATTCCCAATGCCCCATAATATGGGAGGATGCGTCTCTTATCCTGAAAAGGCTTAGGGAGGTTTCTTACCGTTCTGTGGATGGCCTGTAGAAAGAGTCACATCGGGGTCACCAAAATGTGGCAAATATTGAAGCAGAAACAGTAATAAACTACTCAGAGACAATGGCAGTTTACAACCAAGGGACTAGGAGCAACCGTTCACTAAGCTAGTGAAGGCCTAGAGTAAAAGTCCAATGGATATTTATTATGAAAGCTGTGAGAAAGGTATGCAAACAGGGATACAAGAGGGGGAGCCCCCAAAGCAGAACTCCTGAAATCTTATTTGAATAGGCAATACTGCGTACTCACTTGAGTTCAAGGATGCAGCAGTTTTTAACAGCTGGTGTTATCTTGAGAAATACTGTGTGCAGCACGTTACACGTGGGTACTGGCGCCATGTGTCTCTTCTGGCTGGGGCCAGGGGTCATGCCCATCCTCTTAGCGGAATACATCACAAGATGTTAACCCTATACAACTATGAGATGAAAGTGACTGCTTACAACCACTGATACCATTTTCTGGTGATAGGCATAATTGACTTGTTTTGGTTTTCCTCTGGAGCATAGCATTGCTTTTAGTCTATGAAAGTTATGATTGAAAGTATATAAATAAATGTGTCTATGCATTGCTTATAATTTTACCATATTTATCACATCCCGCTTTGTATTCTAGTTACTTTTGTTCCTATCTAGTATTACACACCTTATATCGCCTATGTCATGTCTTTATACATCTTTTCATCTTCATAATACTTATGTGAGTAATCCGCAAATCATATATTTTTAGTGAGTATATTTATGATGGTTATGCTAGGAAGAAAAAAATTACATATAGTTGTGTTTAATTTCAGTCTACATTCAAAATGCTCAGAAAAATAATGTATAACTTATAAAGAGAAATATGAAGGCCTTTTAATAACTCATGGAGAATATTTTCAAACACTTGACTCAGTCAAAAATTCCTTCTCTCTCCATAAAATGACTTATATAATGTTTAAGTGTTTCCTATAGTTAATAATTGTTGGCTGTTAGAATTTAAACAAAATTTATCTTTCAGCTCCTGAATCCAGACCACAGATCCACAGCCACAGTACAGATCTGCAGTGGTTCTGTGAACCTTAAGGGTGCTGTGAAATGCAGAGCTTATGTTCACAGCAATAAACCCAAGGTTAAAGATGCTGTGCAGGTACAAAAAAGTAATAACTGATATATGAAAAAGGGAAGCATGTTAACATAAGTATTCAAAAATCCTAAAATTTCATCGTTTTCTGTTCTCAGATTTTATAATTATTAACTTGATTTTAACTGGTGAAGGCTCAATCTGTTGGGCAGTCCAAAAATATACCATGAAATTTGTTCCAGGATTTTCATACATGAATATCTATGTTACACCTTTTTTGAAGTCATGATTATACAGATTTAGTAAGCGTTCCACAGTTGTGACACATTAGATTTGAAATCATTTCTCCTGAGGGAGATTAAATTTTTTAAATAACAGGAAGAGTATTCATTGGGAGAATTATTAGGTAGTACTCTATAATTTGTATAATTCAGAAATTTAAAAAGTGATGCCTGGCATTTATGTCATAGTTATACATTTCCTAATTTGGAACACTGGCATTATTTGTTTAGATGCAAAATTTCATTCATTTATTTATTTTTAATTTACTATTTAGGTGAGGTCTAGGCAAATTTGCTATGTTAAATAAATGGAAATAAAAGATGGAATGATGTATCAGTTATTTAGTGGAGAAGCAAATTATGTGGGGTTTTTTTTTGTTAACTAAATAATGTAAATCTAGAGTATTTTATTTCTTATTGTGTTTTTGCTTGTTTTTTGTTCCCCCATAGGCAGTGAAGAGAGATATATTGAATACAGTTGCTGATCGTTGTGAAATACTATTTGAGGATATGCTTTTGAATGAAATTCCAGAAAAAAAAGTTATGAGTATAACATAAGTACTTTTATTTGCATGTGTTCAATTGATACAGTAATAGGATGTCAAGATATAATAGATATATCATCTTTTATAGATACCTGTCTACCTTTTATAATAATATGTCATCTTTTACTTTTACTGAATGAAAATTTTTCAGTTGCTACCCCCCAAAATTTTATAATAATTTATAATAACAAATCTGTCAACATTTAACAATTTTAGGAAGGATTTTTTTAAAATTAAATTCTGAGTAAACTTCTACTACCAGAATGAGTAAATTGTGTTGTTATAATTTTAAAATTAATATTTTTTATTAGTATCTATGAGTTCTTTCAAGAATTTAGTCATAATCAAAATATTTATTTATTAGTGTTGAGTATTATGTAAGAGATTCTTTAATGGATACCTTTATATAAAGTATATTAGTTTGTTTAATAGTTTATTAGTAATAATAGTTTATTAGCTATTACTCTAATAGATTTTTAAAAGGCCGAGACATGGTGTCTCACCCTTTAGTATCTATTACATCTTTTGGAAAACAAACAATTTATACCATCTCTGTAATTTGTATTAAAAATAATTATTTTACTCAAAAAGAAAATTTTAATATTGAGCATGCTTTTTGAAGCTACACCCTCATCTCCTCATTCCTACTATTCAGATGTGAGTGGATTTGTAGTTGGATATGTACATAATTGAAACATACTTATTAGCTTGCTAAAGGAAAATTTTTATGTTTATAGGAAAAAAGCATATCTCCTCTATGTAATTAAATTGGTACTACAGATAGCCAGTATGTAAGGTTGGATCAACTAATCATAGTCTTTTTTAACATTTCTAGTATGATAGATTCTTCACATTGCCAGATTTAACATTTATCCTTCCCATAATTCACAAATACCCTGAAGTTCCATTTACTAATAGTGTGTAATTTTGGTCAGACATGAATTGGTATCTTACATGCAGCAGTTGGATTGAGATTTTGGGGGAGAAGCATATGGGACCTGTTTATGTATCCATTCAGCCTAGCAGTCTCATCTTGGTGTGGCTTTGTTTTTACTACTTTACTCTGAGTATGTGGTAACTCTTGTGGTGTTAATCGTTACTTCACTTTCCGAGCAACAATATGTGTTATAGCTGAATTGTGAATTTTAGGACTTTTCAGGGGCATGGGATGTGTATCCACCATTAATGGCAAAGATCTCCCTTGTCACACACATTAGTACACTCTTTTCCATTTAAAAATGCTTTACAAAAATGGTGTTATATGACTATTATTTTATATCGAGTTAGCATTTTGAAATTTTTGCTGATTTCCATTTAGTAAAATTAATGGCTTTTAATGGCAGTTGTACTATTTGTATATTAAACTTGATATATTTAGAAGTTAATGTTAACATCTAATCCTAAATTTTTAAAAAGTGAAAAAGTTTTCTCTGGTAATGGAGTGACCTTGGGACCTGCATGAAGAGAATAGACTGTTTAGTTTGGCGAAAGACTTAACGACTTTGAAGTTCTTGGATTCTGTGTCTATTCCACCACTAGCAGAATGACCTCAGGCAAATAATTCGACTTAACAGGCATCCATTTTCTCATATGTAAAATAGAGATTGTAATAGATGTGTTTTGAGGCTGTGAGATTAAATGAGATGATGTTTGTAAAGCCCCTAATATAAGTTGGTATAAGCGAAGACATTGGTAAGTGGTAATTGCTATAATGTTAGACATGATGAAGGAAGAGAATTACTTATGTTAATTGTCTTTAAAATTCCTTAACTTTCATTTTTGGGAAATGTAGCATTACATTTCAAAAAGAAACAAAACTTAAATAATAATTAGGGTAATTATTCTAGCAACATGTTAGTTGATCTTAGATATCAAGATAAAAGAATAAATTACAAGTGTAATAATACAAATAAATGTAAATTCTGAAGTTGAGTATATGTTCATGGAAAGATTCTTATTATCTTTCAATTCTATTTTTTCACGAACTTTTTGAAGTACCTTCATATTATTCACCAAATTGTTAATTTTATCTTTTCCCTCATTTTACTTAGCTTATCTTTCTTAAATACAGGTAAGATCTTGTAGATATTGTAACATGGTAAAATGTAGAATGTATACCATAAAATTATCTGAATTAGAATATTTTTGCATGTATCAGAAGTCTGCAAAGGGCATATTAACTTTACATTTCTAATTTTTGAAAGTAAACATAATCTTTGAATTCTGGCTATCCAGATGAAAGAACTTAATACCTCAATGACAGTAAGAAAAACATAAAAGTTCCAATCAATTCTTTTACATGCTGTGGTCCTTCCCTTCTCTGATTCCCCTTGAGACATATTCCCTGTAAGTCTTCATTCAAACCTGCCCAACTTACTCTCAGTAGATGAGCTACTCATTGTGAAAACTGGGGTCACCAGTTGTGAAATCTAACCTCCTTCCATCCCTACATCAGTATTCATTCACACCCCTGTCCTCTCAGAACATTTGTAATCCTCTTTGCCTGTACTCATGATTCCTCTCTCTGGATAGCACCTCTGCTCTTTCCTGTATGCAGATGTCTGCTTGTCCTTAAGATTCAGCTAAGGTGTCACCTATTTTACAAATTGTTCTATAATATTCCTTTATGAGCTAGCATTCTATTTTTAAACTATGGAAACCTAATTCTTATCATATTGGCTTAAATTTAAAATTTTCTTTCTCCGTTTTGAACTTATTCAAGTAATATTGAACTAGATATTCTGTCGTTGGGAGATATTCCTGAAGAATTCCTCTGTAGAATACTTTTTGAGATGTTTTTTTTCCAAAAGATCCCTCTTCCCATTTTTAACCTCAAGCCAACTAGAAAACTTGGTCTTATTTGGATACTAAATTGCTAATTTAACTTTTTAGTTTGAAAGCCATACAGGCTTTTTCTCTTTTAATGAGTTTTAAATTTATTGTGACCAATTTTTTAACATTTGATTGTATAACATGTTATTCCTTTTTTTAAGGCAAACCTAGAATTAATGAAGTTTGAGATGGTTTTATAATTTTGCATGCCAATTTCACATACACATTATAGCCATCTTTGAAAGTTTTTTTTTTTTTTTTTTTTTCCCTTTTTGTCTTTTTTCGTGTCCGGCAACGGATCGCAACCCTCAGTGTCGCGCCCGTACCGGACCAGGACCGGCAACAGGATCGCAAACCGCGGTGCTGCGCCCGCACCTCGCTCAGCCAGTGAGCGGGAACCGGTCTGTATGTGGGATCCGAACCCTCGGCGGGAGCGCCACCGCGCTCCCAAGCGGCGCACTGTAGCAGTGCGCCACCGGGCCGGCCCCAATCTTTGAAAGTTTTTAACTTAATGTTTCAAGTAACTGTGGCCCAGAATAAAACAATACAGTCCTAATTTCAGCATGTGGAAAATTTATGTGCTACAGCACAAATCACAGTAAAGTAATTCTACAGCTAGGAGGCAATCTGGTCAAAGAGTAAAATTGTTCTGCCGGTACTCATAAGCAAACAAAATAATACCCAGAATCTGAAAGGAACACACAGTTTAAGTCATGGCATTTCCCATGACACTTCAGGCATTGTTCATCATCTTCTGTTTGTAATTATATAAAGCTGTTACGATTTTCTTGACAAGGAAATCTAGGTTAGTATTAAATTGAGCCCCAGTTTTCTACTTGGTAGCTTTTTAATTATGTCCGTTGTTGAAAGAGGTTGCTTTTAACTTTTTTTTTTTAAGGGGATCTTAACCCTTGATTTGGTGATGTCAGCACCACACTCTCCCAAGTGAGCCAACCGGCCATCCCTATGTAGGGACCCGGACCCATGGCCTTGGTGTTATCAGCACCGCACTCTCCCGAGTGAGCCACGGGCCGGCCCGAAAGAGGTTGTTCTTTACACAAAACCTACCTTTGTGAGAATTCATTAGAATCAAAGTGTTGAACTAAACAGTAATTACGTGTTTATATGGACCAGTGATACTTTATGTTAGAAACTGGGAGAAATATTATATTTCCAGTTTCTAAGTATTCGAAGAGGAATGAAACAGTTATTTGTTATTTATTTAGATTCAGATTCTTTTTTTCTAAAAATCACTTAAGGCTGTTTACAAAGAGGCATTACAAGTAAACAGGAGAAAAATAAATTAAATATTAGTAATAATAGTGAGACAAAGGGAAGATGAAAAAGAAAGCAAGATGGGATTGGTAGTGAGATTAGTACAGAAAACATATGTTTTGATGTCCTCAACCTGCTTGGTATTTATAGGGAAGGGGCTACATATAGTAAAATGAAGTCAGTAGTGAAATTAGTACAAAAATGTATGCTGTCATATTTTGTACAATTGTCTAGTTGGCCACTAATTTGGCTCCAAACTTTCATGAAGAAGGGAAAAATCAGCTATAAAATTCACAGTGCTGGTAAGGTTAAAACAAACAAGAAGGACAACAATGTTTGAAACCAGGGACAAAAGTCTCTCTTGAGTGTTACTTCATGGGACTGGGGGCGGGGGAGGGGAGTTAAATAAAAGCATGTGTAATCAGCATCCTTACATTGAAGGCAGTGATAAGCTTATAAGTCTTATGGTAGTATCATTTACATTTCTTGCAGAGGCCAGTGGTACTGTAGTAAAGCAGAATTTAGTAAGGGCAATTTTGTGTGAGATCAATTAGAAAATGAAAAAGCATTCATTTATTCCTGTTAGATGTTTTTATATAATTGTACTTCTAAAAAATGTATCACTGATACCAGTGACAGACCTATCTAAATACTGATAATGTTCCTTCTTCTTTTAGATTCTGGAAAAGAGTTCTACATTCTCCCTCACCGAGTTTTTGTCCCCATTCCTGGATCTGCTGTAATGTTATGTGATTATAAATTTGGCGATGAGACAGCTAAAGAAATCAGAGACCATTTTATAGAGATGTTAGATCATATGATTCAAATAGAAAATTTGGAAGTTGCAGAGGAAATAGACACAGGTAATCATATGATGTTATTTAAGAACTCCATTAGACTGCAGCTAGGATTACCTATGAGACGTCTAGTTTAAATATCATGTCTTCATATTTCCTTAAAGCTAGTTCTGTTTGACACTTCAAAATATTAACTGAGGCATTAAAAAAATGTATCTATTTAATTTCTACATTTATAAACATGCAGTGAGTATTTTCCTGGGAAATTGTACCTAAATAGATACGTTAGGTTTTCTTTAAGCCTAGCAAGTAGATCTTCATAAAACAAGTTGGGTCTTAAATAAGTAGAAATATATAGCTTTACGATATTTCTTTTAATACAAAGTTTTCTCAGAACCCATTATCTTAATTAATTATTTGATTAAAT